AAAGACCACCTGTCACCACCTGGGGGATCCCCCCCCCCCCCACCGCCCACTAAAAGTGTCACAGTGCCCACAGGTGGGCTATACCACCCAGGCGGACTAGATCTATACCATACCAGCCAGGTGGGCATTTATTGTTAGTGTTAGAGAAAAGAGAAGAACATCCACACAAAAATGTGAGGCATCGTGGTGGAATCAGGCGCTCGTCAATTTTTGGGCATGTGGAGTTATTGGTATCATTTTAAAGCTTATTCACTCGCCTTTGTGTGGATGAAAAAAATATCAATTTATCTTGAGTACAAGTCGAGATATTTGCGAAAGAATGAGGTTGGGGTCACCTGTTTTTAGATATAAAATTAGTGAGAAAATGGCCGCCAAAGATTAATTATTTCCTTAGCTTAAGAGTCTGTAGTAACTGAAGATTTACATTTTTATGCCTTTAATCAACGCTTTTCAGAAAAATACACACAGAAATGAGTTCTTTAATGGGCATGAAAGGTGTTGAGCCAAAAAACAAAAATTTGATAAAAATTCATAAACCCGTAGAAAAATGCAAGTTTCTTCACTTTAATTATTTTGACGAGAGCCTGATTCCACAACGCTGAATCACAAATGGTTATTGTTTTAGTGCTGTGAAAAAGTAAGACAGACAAAATCAACAGAGATCATGGAAAGTAAAGAAGCAGGACCTCCCAGTGGCGTCTTCCAATCCTACGCCCAGTTATTCTTGTTTCAAGATGAAAAAAAAAAAGCTATGTGTACTAACAAGGTCAAGTCCAGTAAACTGTCCCCGAGGTTTTATGCACTCCGCATAATTTAGTAAAATTAGATCATTTTTTGCATAATTTCAGATTATTTTTCTTTATCATTCTTTGTTAAAATTAACAGAATCGCATAATTTCACATTTTAGGGCTGTTTGCATAATTTCAGAATTTTTCTTGCATAAATCTACGGGGACACAATAAAATGTCTATTATAGCCCTCTAACTAATCGAAACTTACTTGTTATAGTTATTATATTTGTATGTATTTCACAAATCTGTCCCCGTCCTTTAATGCCAGAAAAATTCTGAAATTATGCAAACTGAGCCCAAAAATGTGAATTTATGCGATTTTGTTAATTTTGACAAAGAATGATAAAAAGGAAAATAATAAGAAATTATGCAAAAAAAGATCAAATTTTGCTTAATTATGCGGGGTGCATAAAACCACGGGGACAGAAAAATGAGGCATTTTTCTCATTTTCTCGAAATCACCTTAAATATGACTTGACCTTGGTGTTGTTCTTAGTTCTTCAGTTGTGATCCAAACATGAAGAAAATTGCGCATTCAGTAATCATCATTGCCTTTCTCACCCTGGATCAGGATATAGGCCACGAACAAACACTTTCCACCTTTCCCTATCCTGGGCTAGTCACTTGATGGTCACTCCACGTCTTCCCACTTTTTGTACATCTATTTCTACGACTCTTCTCCTGGTTCCACGAGGTCTTCCCCTTGATCTTTTACCCTGTGGGTAGGGCTGGGCATTGAGTCGCTTTAGCAAAATCCGGATATGTTAGTTAGTGCACCTATTCGGTAAATAATATGTTATAAACCGATTCGGCAAATGGGTTAGAACCACTTCGACAAACGGGTTAGTATAACTTCAACAAACGGGTGCACCCACTTCGGCAAACGGGTTAGGAAAGAGAGTTTAAGAGCCTGAATTCGGATAATGTTCAATTGAGAATTATCCGATTATCCAGATATTGCCCACCTCTACCTGTGGGTGCGTTCAGTAAGGTGGTACAAAACAACGTAACAAAAAGTGACAAGTTTGTACCGTACAAGATGTAATCTCCGCCCTAGCCTACCTTTGTGCTGTCCGTGAATCAGGTTAGAACTGACGTCTGTGGTGTAGTAGTGGTTAGGCACTTCGCCGTCGCACGCAGTAGACTTGAGTTCAATTCCTGTGTGGGGAAAATTTTGTCTCAAGTACCTCTGTCTTTGGGCTGGGATGTTGTATCCCTCTAAGCCTGGGTCAGTTCTTTTTTTAGTAGAGGTTTTACGACACTCGCAACTGCATAAGGTCATATGAGAGCCAGAAGATTTGAGGTGTTACAAGAGAGTAACAAACACCAACCTCCTACATGATCTAAATTGTGTTGATTTAACCGTAAAAACACAATTTATTATTTTATATCTTATCTACAAAAAACCTCCGCCACAAAACAAATTATGGACAAATGAAAACATTCTTTCACATTTATTCAACTTACTTACTTACTACCCGTTACGCCATCTGGCGTTTAGGGCAGCAACAAAGGATCTCCAGCTCTGTCTGTTTTGGGCCATCTTGGTCAACGTCCCCCACGAATGGTTCCAGGACTTTATTTCAGACTCTACATTTATTCAACAAATTTAGGTAATTCTGTTACAAGACGAAAAAAAACCAACCAAACCGTGCAAACATTCCTTCACATTTATTATTCAACAATTACATAATGTAATTTTGCCCTTTAAAGGCAAAAGAAACCAGAAGTTAAAAACAACCCAATTCCTGTATATCAGACAAAGTCAAAGTTAGCTGAACGACTGGGTGGATCAACTTTTCATCCCTGTTCGACAGTAAGCTGTACGTGCTTTACACGATAATACTTGATGCTATCATTGACAGAAGCCCAGAGCAAACTACTAAGGGAACCTAAACAAATGAGTAACGGGAAAAGATCAGGGAAATGTAGCTTTTTTAAGAACAACCGAGGAATGAATGGAGAACCACGATCGCCAATGTCTGTTGCAGATCTGGCACTGCATGATTATGATGATGATGATGTTCTCATAATTTAAAATTACTCTGTTTAGGTCCTATATATTAATCATGGTCTTGATGAAAATAAAATATACAATATACATTATACAACAACCAGCTATTCAGTCTGTCGGATCTGTAACTGGATGAATGAATGAATTCACAGAATTTAGACGGTACAGGAGAAGGGCTGCTTCACCCGTACCTGTGGGAAGGACCATCACTTGGCCGAGTGGGGCCAGGGTGTGAACGTCTAGGGTCGTCGGATGTCCCGGGGCTGTTCTTTCTCTATAAACACTGTCTCTCTCTCTCTCTCTCCTTCTTTCGGTCTGTCCTTCTCTCTTATTCCTTCTAGGGTCGTCGTATGTCGTGGGGTTGTTCTTTCTTTCTAAACACACATTCTCTCTCTCTCTCTCCCTCCCTCTTTCAGTCTGTCCTTCTCTCTTATTCCCTATGTACTATATTCAACCGTACTCTCTCCCTTTTCTCTCACTTGCACCCACTCTTCAACTCCCTCTTTTTTACTCTCTTCGTGCTCTCTCTCTCTTGTTATCTCTCTGTCTCTCTCTCACCCTTCTTTATCTCTTCATCATCGTCCCCCCTCCCCCACCCCTTTCTCTCTTCATTCTTCATCTTCTCCTTTTCCTCTTCATCATCGTCTCC